TAATATTGTTACCTTTTTTTCAACAGCTGTACTAAGCCAACATGAGTTACATGTTGCTTCTGACAATGCATCGGATTTTTGGCAAAGTTTTTAATGGAAGATTAAGGAAAGTACGTCCTTCCAGAACTCTCATACAAGAACACAAAATAATTGCAATGGGAACTCTTTTTAAATGTTTTATCAGAACATCTCAGTGTTACAAACTGTTTTCTTTTGCAAATTAATGATTGCTTTGAAAATAAATACACTCACAAATTCCATAATTTGTTCCTGTTTGCTCACAAAAAAATGTCAAAACCTCTGATTGAAGAGGTTCATTGGAGAAATGTTGGATGCTATGGAGTTATCCGACCCCCCCAAGCCATCTGAAGGCAATCCTGTATAGGGAAGTTTTTTTAATGCTTAATGTTTTATTATGGTTTTATATATGTTGGAAGCTGCCCAGAGTGGCTGCAACAACCCAGTAAGATGTGTGGAGTATAAATGGTAAAATTATCATTATGGAATGGGACGTCCCTATTCTCATCAGAGAAATGTTGGAGGGTATATGCATGGCCAAATAAAATACACAGACATAAATATTAGACATGTAGGGTCCTAAATGATACATTGTTGGAAACAGCTGTATGTGCAAATGCATATAACCAGTGCTTTTTTCTGGGGGTACGCGGGGGTATACATACCTCTAAACATTTTGTGAATCTAAGTTTGTCCTCATTGAGGGGCAGTATTTCAATATGAGTAGGAAAATGAGAGTATCCCTAAACATTTTTTTAAAGCACTGAATATAACTGAAATGCAACATTTTCTACTGTCTGGAAAAATAAATGTTTTTAATCATTCTACCCACAATCATTTTATCCACACTGACAAACGACATCTACACAATACCTAATCATTTTGGGGTTATTTTGTTATTGAAGGTCCAATCCTATACTCACTTCCTGAGAGTAAGCCCCATTGACTGTTTTGGCTTGCTCTGTAAAGCAGTTTATTATGTGATTTCTTAACTCAGAGTTTTACATTGCACAACCTCCATACAATCTGTCTGTTTGGCTGTTATTTCTTTGTTGATTTCTCCTTCTCCTTTGACTCCTCATCCCTGATCTTCCTTATACCCAAGTTTTAGGAACCACTTCTTTGTACTGAACTGTTTTTAAGTGGGGAAACCACCTCACATGGTATTTTAGGATTTTTAGATCCCTGTGTGTTTGACTATCATGCATAACATTTTCATTACTGTCCCTGAAGCATGTGATCCATTTATTATTACACAGCATGAGAACTGTCTCCATTATAATTGCCCTCAGTTCTAACACTTATCATTAGACATGCCGGCTCTTTGTGATATAGTGTCCAAAATTTGATTTAAATTAGTCCAGCATATAACAGTGCTGTGACAAAAGTGCTAGAGTAACGAAGCTGATAAATGATTGAAATTCGTATTCTGATGGGGAGCATGAGAAGGGGATTATTAATTCACTCACAACAATCTGCATTTACTTTGCTCCAGTAAAAGCTCTTAGGCATGATGAACAGCAGTGAGATTTTGAATCTGAAAAAGAGCATCGTGGTCATGTTCAATGATTATAACTGGGCGATGATCTTGCACATGGGACTGAGATGTCCGCAGACCACACAGTTATCATCTGCTGGCACTTTTAAACATAGGTACACCAACTCTCTGGGGCTGTGAGTGCTTAGCCCCCACAAAATTTTAAATGGGGGAGATGAGGGGCACACACAAAGTGTGGCGGTGGCCACATGTACTCTGTGGGGGTTTTGCTCACTGCGTCATCATGTCACCACTACATGCATGAGTGACGCCCATTGGTGTGCTGATGTAGTGTGTGCATGCTGGTGGGCATGAAGGTGTAGCACACCCCCCCCCCCCGTTAGGGGGTGCTAACATGGCTTGTACAAGCTCCTGGCATGCGCGCACATCCCAGTGATGGCGCACGGCCCCGGGCACCTGCAGTCACGGGCTCCAGCTGGCGCCACTGTTTAAGCATGTCATGTTGTTGTTTAGTCGTTTAGTCATGTCCGACTCTTCGTGACCCCATGGACCAGAGCATGCCAGGCACTCCTGTCTTCCACTGCCTCCCACAGTTTGGTCAAACTCATGCTGGTAGCTTCGAGAACACTGTCCAACCATCTCGTCCTCTGTTCTCCCCTTCTCCTTGTGCCCTCCATCTTTCCCAACATCAGGGTCTTTTCCAGGGAGTCTTCTCTTCTCATGAGGTGGCCAAAGTATTGGAGCCTCAGCTTCAGGATCTGTCCTTCCAGTGAGCACTCAGGGCTGATTTCCTTCAGAATGGATAGGTTTGATCTTCTTGCAGTCCATGGGACTCTCAAGAGTCTCCTCCAGCACCATAATTCAAAAGCATCAATTCTTCAGCGATCAGCCTTCTTTATGGTCCAGCTCTCACTTCCATACATCACTACTGGGAAAACCATAGCTTTAACTATACGGACCTTTGTTGGCAAGGTGATGTCTCTGCTTTTTAAGATGCTGTCTAGGTTTGTCATTGCTTTTCTCCCAAGAAGCAGGCGTCTTTTAATTTCGTGACTGCTGTCACCATCTGCAGTGATCATGGAGCCCAAGAAAGTAAAATCTCTCACTGCCTCCATTTCTTGCCCTTCTATTTGCCAGGAGGTGATGGGCCCAGTGGCCATGTCCTCATTTTTTTGATGTTGTGCTGTCATAGGATTGGGCTATTGCATAAATTTACACACAGGAACAAGTATGTAGATAAACATAAACAATGAACACCAGTTAAATCCCATAGTGTGTGTGTGTGTGTGTGTGTGTGTGTGTGTTTCACAACTTCCACAATTCATTTTTGCGTGGGCATAAAACTTCTTCAGCAACTTATTCTGCAGGAGTTACATGAGGTCAGCCTGAAGCAGTGGAGGCTAATGAGTTCCAGACTCAAAGCTCATCCTGTTTCAATACTAAAGTTTGAGAGAGAAAGAGAGATACAGAGCTAGTACGAAAGTGACTCTGAAACTGGAGTTTTTGTCCCATTTGAGTTGAAAATTATCAGGCATTCCAGATTGCTGAAAGGAGAGGCAACCATTTCCCTTATGAGATTTAGTTAAAATTGCCTTCCTAATTTGAGAATAGGAAGAATATATTCATCCCTATCAAGGGAATACTTTTGTTTGAGGGAGCTCAAATGTGTACATGAAACTTCCTCACCTCCAATGATTTTAATGGAAGGATTTATTTATTTATTTATTAAAGTTTGTCCCTATGCATATATTAGTCTAAGGGTATCCAGCATTGTACTCTACTGTTGCCATCAGCCCCAGCCAGTCACATGGAGAGCACCATGTCAACTATTCCTGATCTAGTCCCTACATGAAATACATGTGCAAAACTAATGAGATCACACTTGAAAAGAGATCTCACTTGATGACAGTATGTAGCTAATACTAATACTACTAATAATTTATTATTTATACCCCACCCATCTGGCTGGGTTTCCCCAGCCACTCTGGGCGGTTTCCAACAAAACACTAAAATACAATAACCTATTAAACATTAAAAGCTTCCCTAAACAGGGCTGCCTTCAGATGTCTAGTAGTTGTTTTTCACTTTGACATCTGGTGGCAGGGCGTTCCACAGGGCGGGTGCCACTACCGAGCTATATAAAATACACTGAAAGTTATATGACATTTAGAGACATTAACCTGACAAACAGGATCAATAGTTGGAATACATTCAGATGACTCTGAAAAGAGCTCTCTTACTCTAGGATAGGTTAATGGTCTGTATAAACAGAATCTTACCACATTTGCATGCATTTTGCAGCTGTAGGGGATTGCAGCATATGAGTGAGAGGTTTTTTTAATGAAAACCTAGTGCAGATTTCCACAACCTGTTGCCCTCCAGATGCTTCAGGCTTCAAGTCCCAGCATCCTTGACTATTAGCTAGATGAGGCCGATGAAGGCTGCAGTCCAAGGTCATATCCACACCATTTATTTAAAGTATAGAAAGCAGTAGTTTGTTAAGGGTGCTGCGAATTGTAGCACTATGAGGGCTAAACTGTAGTTCCCATGATTATTTGGGGAATTCACACACTTTAAATATTATTTAAATGCATGGTGTGAGTGGGTCGGCAAAATTATAAGCTAAAGGCATATGCCAACGACATGGTTCTAACTTTGGAAAACCCACTAGAAAGCATACCAGCAGTACTGGAAGAAATAGTGGGGTTTTTGTCTTATTTCTGTTTGCATTGAAATGTAGTAGAAATGCAAATAAATATGTAAAAATTAAAATAAATGCATGGTGTGGATGTAACACCAAACATCTGCAGGACCCCAGGTCGGAAAGGCTTGGCTAGAGACTGCATAATATTCACAGTGTAACTGTGTTCCTATGTCATAAAGGTAAAGGACCCCTGACAATTAAGTCCAGTCGCAAATGACTGGGGTTGTGGCACTCATCTCGCGCTGCAACCCCAGTCATTCACGACTGGAATTAATTGTGGTGAAACCACACTTCTGGTGAAACCAGAGCAGCACATGGAAACGCCATTTACCTTCCCGCCAGAGCGGTACCTATTTATCTACTTGCACTTTGACGTGCTTTCGAACTGCTAGGTAGGCAGGAGCAGGGACTGAGCAACAGGAGCTCACCCCGTCACAGGGATTCAAACCACCAACCTTCTGATCGGCACAGTGGCGTAGCGTGGGGGGTGCAGGGGGGGCCGGCCACACCGGGCGCAACATCTGGGGGTTAGGGTTAGGGGGTGCAAATCCACGGGTTAGGGGGCGCAAATCCACGGGTTAGGGGGCGCAAATTACTTGCCTTGCCCCGGGTGCTGACAACCCATGCTACGCCACTGGATCGGCAAGCCCAAGAGGCTCACCCACAACGCCACCCGCATGCCTCCTATGTCATGGCACTATTATTTAATATCTATAATAAATGCAGACTTGCTGGAATTTTTTTGCAGCACTACCCATATCATCATTGCATTAATGGGAAGAATCATAGCTCAGTGGTAGCACATCTGTTTTGCATGCAGAAGTTCCCAGGTTCAATTCTTGGGGAGCAGCTGCCACTCACTGTGGCCAATGCTGAGCTGGATGGATTAGTGATCCAACCATGACTTTTAAGGACACCTGAGTCAATGCAGTGCAATTGTTCCTGCATAGCACATAGACACTGCGTAAATTTTTGTTTGCCATTAAATGAATGATGGTGTGTGTGTGTGAGAGAGAGAGAGAGAGAGAGAGAGTGAGTGAGTGAGAGAAATTCTCCATCGCTCCTTTTGAGAACCAGTTCATTTCGTAGGGTAATGCACAGGAGAACATCCCTGTGGATGTAGAAAGAATTTCAGAATGACTAATTTCTCCACGTATTCCACACAAAAAATTGGAGACGCTAGTAGTTTTAAAATTTCATCTAAGTGACTAAGCCTGAGCCAATTTTCTTAGTATTTTTAATGGAACATTCCTCTTAACCTTGGAAAGAAATATGAGGGTTCAAAAACTTGGATTCTATATAAATGAAATGGCATATAGGTTCTCCCCACCTCTTTCACTCTTTATTAGTCATTGTGGTGTTTTAAATTCCTTTTTTTTTGTGGTGTTTTAAATTCCTTTTTTTTTGTGGTGTTTTAAATTCATCTTTTTTCTTTTTCTTTTTGCTAAGACGCTGAGGTTAGCAAAATAAAGACGGCGGCGGCATTGATGTTGATGCTGCTGATGCTGATGGTGACAATAACCCTCTCTATTAGTATTTGCCTGCAAGTGGCTGACTTGGTCTCTAGAGCTGATTCAGTGAACAATTTCCATAACCCCCCTTTTAATGAACTGTGGAATGTAAACACTTCAAGAATTCCAGATACACTTTCTTCATGTTGGTGAATTCATAAGTTGAAACATAAAAAGGTAAATCCCTATTCATACCATTGTGCTTAACAGATCTGTCAGTTTCTCAGTTCTTAATGCCGAGCTTTTATATAATTTATATCCTACGCATAAAACCTTGCTAAGGGCTAGGATTTAGCATGCAAGAAAATGGCCATTATAACTGATCAGATTATTCATTAGCTTTTCACAATTGCTTTGGCAAGGAAGGATGAAATGGCTCCCTCTACGTGCTGCTAAACCTTTCACATTTTATTTCTTCCAAAATCAAATGCACATGTTTTATTTGCCAAAATGTTATTGCTTTCTTTGTTGCCTTTCACATGCAATACTTATATTAATTTGGTTAAAAATGAGAGTGTTTCCGCGTGCTTCTGTGAATATGTCAGCAATGCCAATAATAGCCCCAGCTCCACACTACCAAACACTTTTGAACCCTGATCTCCTAGGAACTCATCCAACACTTATTACACCACATTGGTTTATGTTTCTTTATGTTGGGAAAAGTTTCACCTGTTGAACCTCTGCCTGTCAGTAGCTATTAAAGATGCAAGACCTTTGCCAGAGAAAAGGATAGTAAACCTAGTGGCATATAAGAACTTGGCCCACTTTAGGGTACTTCCCTGTCCCCTGCTTAATAAATAAATTAAAACTTTGCATATGGTTATTCTGTAAATTTTCCATGCTAGAGGCAAGCCTAAAGCAAATCTTTTTTGGACAGTTTTCAGCAGAAAAAAAATCAGTTTACTCATATTGAAGGAAGATGACCAAACTGTCTTTCTTGTTCAAAATGTGTTTTCCACCTAGCTGATAACTGGCTGCTTTGAAGGTGTGATTTAATATATATTTAGGGGTCCTTAAGTCAGGCAAATGTTGTATAGTGCTTTCTTTTTCTCTACTGATTGAGGTGAGTTTCCAAAATAGATGCCTGCAGGTTTTAACGGAATTATTTGCTTTTCAAATTGTTATGATAATTAAAATAGTCATAGATGCATGGACATAGCCAGGATTTTTGTTAGGGGGGCAGGCTTTTCTTGAGGGGAGCCCCCCTCACATTTGCATTGATTTGTATTGATTTTGATTGATTGATTGCTTGGGAGGGCAGGTGCCCCCCCTGCTCCCCCTGGCGACACCTATGCACACCATAGATTTAAAGCGCTATGTATGGCAAGGGTGCCCCAAACCATTGTGGACCAATGGTAACATTTTGAAAGATTGAGAGTGCTGTAGGTGCAAGTCACAAAACAGTTGCTGCAGGGAGGTTCATGTCATAACACAAAGTGGCTGCCATGGGGAGCATGGCATAACACAAAATTAAAAAGACGGCCACTCCAGATAACAATATACCTACCATGGGAAGACAGCTATGCCCTGCTGGCCCTGATTTGAAGATCACACAATATTGATTTTACACACAATTGGGAAACCATGTGCAAGGGTCTGCAACTTCCCTTCCCACTTGGTACTAATTCAGGTTTTTATATGAACGTAATTTAAGACGGACAATTTAGTTGGTAAACTTGTCCGTTCTTGGCAAGTTTGAGGTGCCAGAACTCCCAAATTGTGTAATCTTGTAGATAACTCATAGGATTGAATTCAGGCTTAGTCGTGCTTAAAGCAGAGATGTTAAAACCAGTGGGTGTTACGTTAATCATGACTAATTTAAGTCACTATAATTTTAATGGGTTGACCTTAAGCACGAGTAAGTTTGGACCCAAGCCATAATCACAAAATAATATCGCAATGCTCCATCTAGTACATGGCTAGAAGATTCAGACTCTCCAAGTGTCCCTATTTTCCAGGGACGTCCCTGATTTAGAGAAGCCGTCCCCGGTTTCTGATTTGATCATGGAATGTCCCACTTTTCCTTAGGATGCCCCTATTTTCACTGGAGAAATCTTGTATGGTCTGGAGTTATCTGACCCCCGAGCTGTCTGAAGGCAATCCTGTATAGGAAAGTTTTTAAAATGTTTTATATATGTTGGAAGCTGCTCAGAGTGGCTGGGGCAAGCCAGTAAGATACGTGGGGTATAAATCATTATGGAATGGGACGTCTCTATTTTCATTGGAGAAATGGTGGAGGGTATGGAGGCTTTGATGCTGTTTTCTTCAGATGTTGTTGGGCTCCCAACTTGCCCCATGCAGCAAGGCCAATAGGCAGGGATAAGTGCCAGACGTTCCCTTCATTAATTTAGTATCATCAGCATATAAATATCACTGTGATATTCAGTTGTGAAGTGGATGTGAACTGAAATATTCATAGGCATTCCATTGCCTGATGAATTCTGCAAGGAAGGTCTCTGTCAGGTGTGCGTGCAGGAGCCAGGCCCTGTGACCAATAGGATTCTGCAGGACTGGGGCCTTCCTAAGTTTGTTCTGAAGAGGCAAGGTGTGGCCACACAGGTGAGGCCGATTGGTAACTCACAGCACCTGGTGGCAAGAGCTGGGAAGGGATATAAGCTCAGCATTTCCCTTCAGCTCTTTGCCACAGCAACACATTCCTTGTCTTGCTGCATTTGGTTCCTTGACTCCTTGCTTCCTGATCCTCGGACCCCTGACTTCATGACTCCTTGCTTCTTGATCCTCAGACCCTTGACTTTGTAACTTCTTGCTTCCTGAACCTCGGACCCTTGGCTTCTTGACTCTCGGCTCTTTGACCCTCGGACTCTTGGCTTCCTGACTCCTGGCTTCTGGACTCCCGTTCCTGCTCCCACCCTGCCATCTTGTCCCCAGTCCTGACATCCCCAGCCGGGACTTTGATTGCCCGTGAACTGGACTGTGACACTTTCATTCAACACACCAATTTGATTGTATGACTCTTCCACTGACAGAGAGAATAATTCATGCATGAGATGGACCTGAAACTGAGGCTTCAGTCCCACCCAGAACACCAACAGCTGTGTTCACAAATATCCAGTGGATTGTATTTTTAGAAGTGTTTCAGATCTGTAGTTTTTGAGGGAACTATACATTTTCATTGCAAACATTTACTTCACTGTTTACACTGTTCTTGTTTACAAAGTCTGTTTTGAGCAGTGTGTAGGCAACAAATATAATGCAAGCCAAAAAGGAAATTGTTCTTTGTAGTCATTCTTTTGAAAAATGTTGCTCTTTTTTATTTTAAAAATGCCTTTAAAAGACATTTTTAAAAATTCTTTAAGATGCTAGAAATTCAAACAGCCCACAGATTGCATTAAACACATCTGCTTTCATTATGGTCAAGTAATTAGTCCTTGGAGTAAATGCATCTGCTTTGTTTAGATAAACCAGTATTTTAGTTGTTTTTTCTTTTTGGCAAATGCTTCCATTGCCTCTACACAAACCTCAGCCAATAAACACCCTTATTGTGATCTTATGGCAGTAAAAAATACATATGTTGTACCAAACATGACAATAATTTATTAGCTGGAAATAAGAATTTAATTTGCTGCCGAACTGTGTAGACAACCTAAAGAGAGGAATCCTGGCGTCTATTTTCTTCCTTATTTATTCATTATTGCCTTGTTTCAAATTAACACAACGGCTTTATACACTGTTCTCTGCATATTGTTAGATCCTTTGCCAATGCTTTCTGCAGTCCTTTGGAATCTTTCAGATTATTTAACAGGGTTTAGATCATTCCTTTGGCTCTTGTAGACAAGAAGGCATTTTTATTTTTATTTTTTAAAATACAATTGTAAGGGATTTAGCCCAATGAGGTCCTGATCTATTTATTTTTCTGCAGAATCAAGCACTGCACCCACTCCACTCATGACATACCACTGGGGTGTGGAATGGGGAGGTGAGATTAGGAAGAGGCGAGACTGTCAGATAAGATTATATTATTCCATATTTAAGAAGGTCCTTGCTAGGTCTAGACCATACAGCCTGTGTCTGGTAGTGCTCCCAGATAGTAGTTTTGCTGGACTCCCACTGAGACGGTTTAAAGAAAATGGGATCCTCTCTCTCTCTCCAAGTAAATATTTTTGGCTTCATGGTGATGTGACATCACATTGCCTATTTCTTTATATAGATTAAAGTTAGAAGCAAGCCTAGGGAGTATTTGCAGAGAAGAATTAGCTGGCCTTAGAGGGTTAATCATCTAGAGTAGTGGTTCTCAAAAAAATAATTAAAATACTTAGGCAGAAATCCTATACATATTTATCTGAGAGTAAGTTTCACTGAACTCACTGGAGTTTACTTCTA